ATATATTTAGCCTTGGTACAGAGTATGCGCGTATTAGTATACAAGGTTCCTGGGTGACGGCGCCAGTTACCGGATCGCGGTTTCGGTAGGCCGCGAAAGGTAAATCGGTAGGCGGAGCGTATAGCGCGATAACTAGGCTCGCCTCGGAGATTCGGCAGGCGGTCGCGTGTCGCGATTCGGTGTTCGCGATTTGTACGCGGCTCGCGTGTTTGGTCGCGGGGACCGCGCGGTGTCGGCGGTATCGTATTCGTACCACAGTATCGTATGCTGTCTTCGCGGTTTTGACGGCTACGCGCTCGCTTACCCGTCGGCGTCGCAAGAGACGAGATGGGGCGTGAGTAGCCGATGTGTCGGCGTATTCACACCCGATCTCGCTCGTCGAAAGGCAGAGAACAAGGGTCGAGAAAACTCGACAGAGCGCAGCTAACCTACTGGCTTCGGTCCTTGTTCGGGATGTCGACGGGATGCAAACTAGAGTCGATAAAGATCGGCAGAGCACAGCTAACGTACTGGCTTCGGTCCTGGTTTGCGAGGATGTGATCGTTGGCAGGTTGAGGAAGCAGATACGAGTCGGTCGTAGGCCTTGCTCTCCGCTGTGTAGCATCGAGTTCGGTTGACGGTCCGGATCGGTCTGGTCCTGATTAATTTGGCGTCGCGAATTATATACTTGACGCTTCTTTGTCTTCGCTCGCCGTACACGTGTGCGTCGCGTGTTCGCGGCGCTCGCTCGCTATTGTTTCCTTCTCGCGTGATCTTCGTTCGCTTTGTTTATGTTTGTTATCGGTTGTTTACGCGTGTCGGTTTTTCGGTGTTTATTGTTGGCGCAACGCGCCGGTGCACGGCCCGACTGATGGTCGGTCGGGCCGGAGTAGTGACGATGCAGGTGTGCATCGTTACATCACCCCCCGTCCTAGGGCGGGTCGTCGGGGAGTCTTTGGCAGGCCCGTAGTTGTCCTATCCTATTAAATCTCAGCATCCATCGTCCTTCCGGTAAGCGTAATCGATACCGGCGGGACACATGTACCGCGAAGTGTGGTATCATTGCTACTAGGCCTGGGCGCAGCTCCACGGGTATCGGTGGCGGTAGCGACGGCGGAATTATTCGGAGCGGTTCCATCGTTGCTCGGTCGGTTGCCCGTTTGGTCGCTGTCCCTGGCTGGCCTCCTGTCTTCGTTATTGGCGGTATTTTGGTTGTTGGCTGTGTTGCGGTCGTTATTGGTGCTGGTGTTCCTGCCGGTGCTGGTGGTGAAGCTGCTCTCTTTATTGCCCTTATCGCGCATGCCGATTGTACTTGCGCTGCGTTTGTGCCGGTTTTTCTCGTGACGGCGGCACGTCCTCGGCGCCCTGGCGGTGGGGGCGGCGGAGCCGTAAGGAAAATTGCTTTCCTTTTTTGCGTGGCGTCCGATCGTTGTATACGCGTGTCTCTTGATGGCAGCGTGTTGATCGGTGCTCTAGTTGCGGCCGTCGTTATTGGCTTCTCCGTCCTCGCTTTCTTTTCTGGCGGTGTCTCAGTCGTTGCCGTTGTTGACTTTTGAGACGGTTGGTTGTCCTCTGGCGTTGTCGGCGGTGGTAGTGCCGACGGTGATCGAGGCTGCGGTGCCTCGGTTTTCTCGTCGTCCGAGGACAAAAGCAGGTCCGTCCAGAGGAGGTCTACTCCTTCGATCTCATATACTTTCTGCGTCGGCATCTTTCCTGTTAGCTGTCTCGTTGGAAAGTGAGAGTTTCTTCGTTGTGCTGTTTCTTTATATATTGCTTTTCGTATCGCCTTCGTCGTCCTCCTCGCTGTTGTTGTTCTGCGGCTTTAGGTCCTGAACGTGTATATGCCTGTGCCATCAACCGTTTTTGTCTTTCAGATCGACGACAACCGGCGATATTATTTTTCTTACTGTCATCGGGCCTAGCTTGGCTATTTTGGCGCTAGCTTTGCGTTGAAGGCTTTCGCCTTATTAGATAGCGGGTATTCTCTTTTCCATACTTTTTCGTCGGTTTTTGGCTTCCAGTTTCGTCGTCTTAAATTATAATATTTTTCCTGTCGCTGGAACGCTCGAGCCAGGTTTATTCGTAGCAGCTCGTTCGCTTCTCTAAGCCTTTTTTGTCGTGACGCTGGTTCTTCCCTTCCGTCCGTTTTATCCGGCGTGGTGTCTATCTCTCGCCCGTAGTTTAAGTATGCAGGCGAGTAGCCTGTGGACTCCTGTACTGCTGTGTTGTACGCGAACTGTAGGGCCGGCAGGTGTACGTCCCATTTTCGGTGGTCTCGCCCTACATATTGTGCCACCATTGTTTTTACGACCCTGTTGGTCCTCTCTACTGGGTTGCAGTGGGGTGCATGGACGGGGGTGGTACGGTGTTTTATATTGTGCGCTGTGAGCATTTGTGCTAATTGTTGGGATTTCAGTTGGGTGCCGTTATCGGAGATGATGGTATGCGGGCAGCCGTGTCTGTATATAATCGCGTCCATTAGTGTCTGCGTCACGATGTTCGCT